GGCAGAGGCAGCAAGGTCATAAATTCAAAGCCATCCTGGGCTTCTTGAGTCTCCAAACAGTGAAGAACTGAAATGTAAAAACAGGAAAGAACCGGTTACCTGTCACTACAGCAGATGGAGGAGTGAATGCTTGTGCACCGTCCTCCTCTGCCGCCCCACATCACTGAGCAAAAAGCAAGAAAATCTCTGGCTCATTTTACTTTACTTCTGCTCTCAAAAATTCTCTCACTGGGCTGACTCAGTGACTAAAGGCACTTGCCACCCAAGCTGGAGGACTTTACTTCAGTCTCAGATGGTAGAAGAAGAGAACCCACTCCCACAAATTGTCCTCTGACCACCAGACATGTGTGGCGGCTTGTAAGTGCACACATAGGCAGGTGCAATAGGAATTAAGTAAGTGAACAGATAAATCAGAGAATCGCTACAGTGCCAACTCAGGTTAATATATACTTTGCTACAACAAATGGTTTATGATAGCCTCTGTGACAGGGTTGTCCTCTGTAGGCTAGGAGCCACCCTCAGCAGCACTGGGGCATTCTAGGCAGGATTCTACCCTTTGCCATGTCCCCAGCACCTCTATGGGGGAATTGCAGGTAGGGCTCCACCCATGACCACGCCCCCATCCCATCCCTGGGGGATTCTAGGCGGGGCTCTACCCTGACCATTCCCCCATTTCTTCCCTGCAGGATCCTAGGCGGGGCTCCATCCCTGGCCACGCCCCAATCCCCCCTCACTGAAGCATTCTTTTACTTACTTTGAGACTAGATCTGGATAAGTAGTCCAGCCTGTTCTGGAACTTCCAATTCTCCTGCCTGTCTCCCAAGTAGCTGGAATTACAAAATCGGGACCTAGGCTCAGTTTCAAAGATTTTAGTAGACTGAAAAACAACAAAAAGCCTAGGCAGTGGAATCTTACCTCATTAATGCCAAGACAGCTCACCGTCAGGAACTCTGTCAGTCTTGAATCACCGTGCGATAGGAGGGAGAGAGCTGAGTTATCTAATGCTGGATAGCAAAATATTAACGCACAAAAAATCCGCCAGACAAGAAAATCTTCAGTCATTCTTTCCAAGCAACAAAACCTCTCCTGGCCCAGTTACATAATAGGGGTGACGCCGACCACTTGTTAGCAGGTGGCTGGCCAGATTCTGTTTGGCTGTTCACATGTGGCCTTCTCTGCAGAGTGGAAATCATGGAACTAATGCCATGCTTGGAGTTTCATGCAGCCTGGACGGTCCTAGTGGAGTGGAGTGTCTGCTGCCTGGGATCAAAAAGGCTGGCTTTTCAGCTTACTTACTTTATTTTTTTTTATTTTATTTTTTATTAATTCATCTATTTTGTGTATACTTACACATGCCACGGTCTCTGTGTAGATGTCAGGTGACTACTTGCCATAGTTCTCTCCTTTGAATACACGGATTCCTGGTCAAACTCAGATTTTTAAGCTTGGTGGCAATTGCCTTTATCTGCTGAGCCCTCTTGCTGGCCCTTATTTTTATGTGTTATTTTGAGACTGGGTTCTCGCTGAATTTTCCAGGCTGGCCTGGATCTTTAGTGTGCTACCATGTCTGGTTTATTTATTATTTCACATGTGTGTTCATGTGTGTGCTTGCTTGTGGTGACCACAGGACAACCTTGAGTATTGTGTCTCAGGCGTGGTTTGGGTAGTGTGTGTGTGTGTGTGTGTGTGTGTGTGTGCATGTGTGTGTGCGTGTGCATGTGCACACAGGCAGATGTGCACAACCTTACATGCACAGAGCCCAGAGGATCTCATATGGTGACTGTTCTATCTCTCTCACTCCCTGGAGATAAGGTTGCTTTCTGAACCAGCAGCCAGACTGACAGCCAATGGGTCCGAGTTTTCACCTCTTTCAGTCTCTGCCCCTACAGTGCTTGAGTTACCGGCATCTATGGGAACTGCATCCAGATTTTTACATGGGTGCTGGGGTTCCAAGCTCAGGTCCTTAGACTGGCGCTCTTACCACTGAGCCATCTCCCCTGTCTGAGATAGGGTCTTTAACTGACTAGTAGCTCAAATTCAGCCAGATTGGCTAGCCATCAAGCCCCAGGGATCTTCATGTGTCTGAATCCCCAGTGCTGGGATTGCAAGCTTACAACACACCACCATGCCTGACTTTTTTTACCTAGGCTGTGGGGACCAAACTCACGTCCTCACACATATGCAGTACATGTGTTACTCACTGAGTAATCTCTACAATCCGGTTTTGATGTTTGTGAGACCAACCTCATTAAGTCACTCAGGTTAGCCGAGGCTGGCCTAAACCTGCTGTCATCTGGCCTCAGCTCGTGGTGTTGTACCCAGGCACATTTGAGCCCTTCACCAGCATCTTTTCCTTTCCTTGACCCTGTTTTTCACTTGTTAAGGTCACAGGAGTGTGTGCTTTCCTTCCTGTCTGTCTGTCTGTCTGTGTGTCTGGTCTCAGGGAGGCCCTGAAGAAGATGAAAGACGTATATGAGAAAACACCGCAGATGGGCGACCCTGCCAGCTTAGAGCCCCGCATTGCTGAGACCCTGGGCAACATCGAGAGACTGAAGCTGGAAGTTCAGAAGTATGAGGTCAGAGGGATGCCCTGGGGAGGGGCGGGGACAGACTGAGCTGAGTCACTGCCGGGTGGGGGACAGGGGATAGAACCTAACTAACTGTCTTTTGTCAAAGTTTTGGGTGTGCGTGGGTGATGTCAGAAAAGGTCCCTAGTCCAAGAGTGGGCTGACCTCAATAGCTTACCCTGGAGCTCATGCTGTGATCTCCAACCAACCCTAGGCTTGGTTAGCAGAAGCTGAAAGCCGGGTCCTCAGTAACCGTGGAGACAGCTTGAGCCGTCATTCCAGGCCCCCTGATCCCCCAGCTACTGCCCCACCTGATAGCAGCAGTAGCAGCAACAGTGGATCCCAGGACAATAAGGAAAGGTAAGCAGAGAAACCAGAAGCAGCTATGAGGCCTGAGCTTGGTATAGCATTGGCCTAGAATCCCTCCCCACCACCAGTGAGAGCCTGGGGCGTGGTCAGGTGTGGAGCCCCACCTAGAATCACCAGTGTTGGGGCTGGGGTGTGATCAGGGTGGAGCTCCACCTAGAATTCCCCAGTGAAGGGCTGGGGGTGTGGTCAGGGTGGAGCCCTGCCTAGAATCCCCCAGTGAGGGGCTGGGGGTGTGGTCAGGGTGGAGCCCCACCTAGAATCCCCCAGTGAGCTGGGGGCGTGGTCAGGGATGGAGTCTTCACCTAGAATCCCCCAGTGAGGAACTTGGGCTGGCTTAGATGGAGGGTCAGGCCCTCATCTTTCTTCCACGTCCAAGCAGCTCAGAAGAGCCCCCTTCAGAGGAAGGCCAGGACGCCCCCATCTATACTGAGTTCGATGAGGACTTTGAAGAGCCTGCCTCCCCTATCGGCCAGTGTGTAGCTATCTACCACTTTGAAGGTGGGTGTAGTGCACGAGTTACTGTTTCTTGACAGCAGGAGCTTAGTGTGAAGGCTGTAGCTCAGTGGGAGGGTGTGTGGCCAGTGTTCAGCCCCCAGTACTGGCCAAAGGAAGGACCTGGGGAGTCAGTGTAAGGAAGAGTTATTTTATCTTTTTAGGTTTTTTCGAGACAGGGTTTCTCTGTATAGCAGCTCTGGCTGTCCTGGAACTCGCTCTTGTAGACCAGGCTGGCCTCAAACTCCCAGAGATCTGCCTGCCTCTGCCTCCCGAGTGATGGGATTAAAGGTGTGCGCCATCACCACCTGGCTATCTTTTATTTTCAAATATTCTTATTTATTTTTTTGTGTGAGAGTGTTCAGAGGACAGCCTTCAGGAATGAGCATGCGCATCCTGGGGACCAAACTCCGGCTGTCAGACATGGCGGCTAGGGCCTTTTCCTCCTGAGCGGCCTTACAGACTCTCGATTTCTCAGTTTTACTCATTCCAGGACCCCAGTCTGTCCACATTTAGTGTGGGGCTTCCCGTCTAAATTCGCCCAGTCTAGAAACTCCCTCACAGACATCGGAGGTTTGTCTCAAGGGTGGAAGAGATGCCGAAGCTAACAGCGCTAACCCTCGCACCAGGGCAGGTGCGGCTGCTCGGAGCTATGACTTCCAATGTCATTCACCAAACCTGACCTATCCCCACCCTACTCCCCAACAGGATCCAGCGAGGGAACCATCTCCATGTCGGAGGGGGAAGACCTCAGTCTGATGGAGGAAGACAAGGGTGATGGATGGACACGGGTCAGGCGGAAACAGGGAGGCGAGGGCTATGTGCCCACCTCCTACCTCCAAGTCACCCTCAACTGAACCCCACTAGAGCGGGTGACTAGGGGCAGGGCTGTCAGCTGCTGCTTCTGGGCCACAGGGGGCCCCCGAGACCTTGCACTTTATTCCTGCCCTCGTGGCTTTTGGCTGAGACCTGTGTAACCCGCTGTCCCCTCTCTTCCCACCCCACCCATCACCCTCCAGGGACCCACTTGTGCCTTCCTGCGTGGTTGTACATATTCTTCATTTAAGACCTCTCTTCCTGCCGCTCGGCTTGGGCCAAGTTTTGTTTTATATTAAAAAGTATATATAATTACATAAAGTTCTTGGAGTCTGTGCCTCCAGTATTGGGAATGAACACTCAAAAGGTACCTCAGTGGAGTGATAGCTCGGCAGCAGGTGCTGGCCTCTCTCACGGAGAACCCCGAGTTAGTTTTGAACAGCAATGTCTGCATCTCACAGCCATCCAATACTGCGCCCCCTGTGGCCAACTCTGGCAACTGCACTCATACCTGCATAGACCCTTCCCAAGTTAAAAATATAAAAGCCACTCTTTCTTGGAGGCGAACCTAGGTACACCCTGGCAAGTCCTCCTTGTGTGTATTACTGATGCTTGTCACCCACCTACTGTATACCCAACAACTCACTCATTCCTTAAGCTTTCATTTTGGCCACATTTCCCTAGAGTGGTCATTCCACAGAGAGGTCAGGTAGTTTGCTCAGAGTCACACAGCATTTAAGAGGCAGAGGCAGATTCGAACTTTGATACCAGATCTGTAAGGTGTTTTTATTTAGAAAAGTCATGCGTTCATCGAACGGTTGCTTTCTGGATATCCCAGAAAGTACGTGTGGATGAGTAAGGGGTATGTATATACAGGAGTGTGAGGGTTGGTCTCTGGGTACCTACCTGAGTAGGTATTTTGATAAAAAGGAAGCAGCTATTAGACCCCAATCTCTTGGGGTCCATTTTAAGATGGAGATTCGTGTAAACTTTGACCCCCGGAGGGGGCTTTTTTAAAAATTTTTTCCCCATAATCTTCATATAGCCCAGGACAGCCTCAAACGAGCTGAGCCGGCCTTGAACTCCCGATCCTCCCATCTCCATTTCAAGTGCTGGAGTTATGGGTGGGAACCACTGCGCCAAGTTCATTCCGATGCTTCTTGAATAGCTGGGGGAGTCTCTCCAAGGATAAAATGGAGGCTGGGCTCTCAGCCCTCAGGCTCTAGTTGTTGGGACAGGATGCTGAGGACGTGATGGAACTTCTCCAGGCGGTTGGCTCTGGTGGCCTGGGCCCCTTTGCTCCCCCAGAGTAAGCGGCGCAGGAAACCGGTGGTCAGCGCCTCCCAGAGTTCTGGGTTAGGCCTGAATCCTGTAGACAGAGTCAGGTGCCCTTGGGGTGTGGCTCAGGCCTCTCCCATACCTGCCTTTTAATGCTAGGGACTTTGATCCATAGCAGCCAGTGGGGAGTGCCTGGGCAGGGGTTAGCAGAGGAAGGGGGCCCCTTGATCTCTGTAGGGGTAAGGGCAGGGTGCAGAACAACACGAGACAAGACAGGGTGACCAGCCTAGGTGCACCATTCAGGGAGCCCTGTCTTCGAGGCTATGCCGAGAGGCGGGATTAAAGGGCATGGCCATGCAGCTCGGCAAACCTTGGACTGGGCCTGTCCCTTTGCAGGGTGTGGACACCTAAGGTCTTAGAAGTCACCCAGGATAAGGATCTTAGAGGTTGGCTGGGCCCAGGTGGGAGGGAAGTGTGACTTGACTGGGGAAGAAGTCATGTTGGAGGGAACCCCAATGGGGCCAGATATTCCCAGGCCAGAGGTTGTGGGGTGGGACACCGCTGGGCATAGCTCCGCTGGGCTCCGTGGTCCCTTCTAAGTGGAGAGCACTATTTGTGGTTTATGATTGGGGTTAGGTCCTCCTCCGGGGGCGTGGTGGACCCAGTTGGGTGAGACTTTGGAAAACTTGGGCTAGGCTGGCCTCCAAGGGGCCATCGCTCACCTTGTAGGCGCTGGGCAGCCGCCCTACGGAACAGGGGTGCATCGCGGGCCACCTGTCGCGCCCCGAGCAGAGTGCGCAACAGCCGATCACAGGACTCGTCCAGCGGCCCAGAGGTCTCCTCGCCCTCCAGTAGTCGTACTACCGGTGCCACGTGTGGCAGGGCCACCTCTCCTGGGCTGCAGGGTCCTGTGGGAAAAGGTAGGATCTGGACTGCGGATGGTGGGATGGGGCACAGGGTACAGCCTAGGTGGTAACAAGGGCGTGATCAAAGGCAGAGGTGGAGGAGGGAGGCCAGGGCCTAGTGTAGGGAAGGTGATTAGGATTGGGGAAGAATTTAAAGAGAAATGCCTAGGATGGGGTCACACGGGGCTAGAGTGGAGTCTTGGACCCAGAGCAGGGAAGAAGCCTAGGATGGATCAGGCATATGGCAGGGACGGATCCTGGAGCTGGGAAGGAGGCTGGGGCAGGGGAAGAGCATATGATGTAGCTAGCAGCTTAGAGCAGGAAAAATAGGGAGCGGCAAAAATTAGAGTGGGGGTGGGGGGCTGGATCAGAGCAGGACTCTGGGGCTGGGAAGAAGCCTGAGGCAGGCAAGGCACGGCCCAGGATCTCTCTCACCTGTGCTTTCATCCAGAGCCCGCATCAGAGGCTTTAGCTCTTGTTCAAAGACCAGCGCGGCCTCCGTGTGGTTCCTTCGTAGATGACGCCAAGTGCTCTCTAACCTGGATACCTGGACACAGAGATAGGAGCCCAGCTAGTCCCCTCTTTCCCGCTACCTGCACCCGGGCTTCTTCCCCAACCCTGTTCCCAACACACCTGGGGCATGAGCAGGGCACCCATGACCCCAGCCAGTCCCAGCAGGTCCCCTGTCGCTCCTGGCCTCAGCGCCAACGCTAGATCCACCAGGCCTTTTAGAGCGACTGTGCGCTCCTCCAGGGGCCCCGAGCAGCCCAGCACAGCCAGGGCCCCAGCTAGTGCCAGGGTCTCAATCCTGTGGAGGTGGAATGCAAGGGTCTGGGGACAGTAGGAGAGTTTGTGATGGGAGAGGGGGCAGGAAGTGATCGCCCAGCCCCCTCCACCATGGGGAACTAACTCAGTTAGCAGAAACTGAGTTAGAAAGTCATAACCTCCCCACCCCATACACCTCACCTCTCTAGGACCTCCAACCTCAGGCGGTGACCGTGAGGAAGTGTGAGTAGTTCTAGGCCAGAGGCGACGCCCATGGCACTCTTCTGACTCTTGGTCACCCCCAGCAGTCCTATAGCCTTGACAAGAGAACACAAAACACTTGGAACAGACTAAGCGTTCTGATGATCCCTTGGAGCCTGCCTTCTGTTCCTCTGGTGAAACCATTTTCTCCTAACAGGACCTGACCCCCCTCCCCCCAGGATGGAGCAGGGAAGTTAACTAACAAGGTCAGGGAAATAGAGGAAACTTGGAAGTCTCAGGAAGTCTGACGATTACAAGGTTCACAAGCACTAACAATTTCTGGAGCTGCCTGCAGGGGGCGCCAGGGATGCAGTGTTTGGGAGTAGTTACCCATGCTTCCATGGGGCTTTTTAGGGGATGCAGCCTTTGAGTCAGGAAGTAACCCCATAAGTTCTCACTAAGCTAGACTCAGGTGGAATCGTTTCTTCTGCCGCTAGTGCCCTATCTATGGTAAGCAGACATCTGTTCATTCCTCCCCAGGAAAAGCCCCTTGCTGGTGGAGGACCCCAGCAGGTGACGCACCTGACAGTCCACTAACAGCAAGTGCAGAGCGGTACTCTCAGAATGGTGTGCCACCAGCAAGCTTCGGAGAGTGCACAGAACTGTAGGGTCCAAGGGCCGGTTCTGGGGACCCAGCAGGCAGGAGGGGTGGCCAGGGATGCAAAACGAGACCTCAGCTTGTGGTCTTATGAAGCATCTGTCTTCTTCCTCTTCTTCCTCAGCTTCCCACCACCAGACCGCTGGCTCTGGACAGCTCGGTCTAGGAGTCGTTCTCTGAGCACTGGGCACTCGGGGGAGAAGTTCACAGTATGTTGGGGGATGTCCAGAGGCCAAGGAGGGCATCCGGAGTGTGGGAAGCTGTCCGTCAGAGGCTGTGAGACTGTCCGCCATAGTTCCCAGGTGAGGCAGGGCCTTCAGCAATGTGGGTTCACTGCCTGTCCGGTGCAGGGCAGGTCCGAAAGCAGAGGGTGCTCCTGGGACAAGGGAGGATATGGGTGTGCTTACAGAAGAGAGCTTGGCAGAGTGGGGTGGGAGTGAGCTCAACTCTCTGGCTCTCCTGCTTCGGTCCAGTAACCGAGGATCCCTTCCCAGCCTCTCAGTCTCTGCCACCTTGAAAGCAAACCTTCAACACTTGGGGCATGTTCTGAAGCCTGGACGTGTGTTCATGTGTGTGTGGTCATGCATGCACACGCATATGGATGCCAACCTTAGGTGTTGGCCCTCAGGCATCATTGACTTGATTTGATCAGGGTTTCTGTCGCTGGCCTGGGACTCCTGACTGTGTCAGGCTGGTGACCCAGCGAGCCCCAGGGATCTTCCTGTCTCCACCCACCCAGCACTGGATAACAAACACACATCACTACACTTGACTTTTTAAAACATGGGTTCTGGGGATCCAAACTCAGGTATTCATGCTCGTGTGGCTCTCCAGTCTCTGTGGGCCTGGGGGCCTCTCACCTGCTGCCTCATCACGTTTTTCCCTTCCTGAATGGTCCAACCCTGCAGGCTGGCTGGAACTCCACTTCCTAGGCCTAGGAGACAGAGGTGCAAAGGGCTGTGAGTCCAGTCTGAGCGGAGAAAATCGACCTGCCGGCCACTTCAGTGATGGCATCTCTTAGTTCTTCATTCTGCGACTATACTGGCGGAGGTAGAGGCAGGGGGGTCAGCTGTTCAGGGACATCCTCCACTATACGGCGAGTCTGAGCCCAGCTTGGGATACATGAGACCCTGCCCGAAACAATAAGTCAGGAGAAGCCTCAGTGCTGAGTACCTGAGAGGCCTGGGGGCAGCCGGGCTGTCGGTGAGCACGTCCTCACTGAGGCTGCGCCTCAGCGGCCTCTGACGACTCACAGGCTTGGAGGCCACAGCTCCTGTGGCCCGGGACAGCGGTCGCCTGCGGGTCATGTAACTGTGGACCAGGGCAGACATACTGGCAAACCTTTCATCTTCTAGCTGAAAGAGGGCCTGCGGGCGACCAGGCCTAGGCCGCAGCACCACTCGGAACACCTCAAAATGTAGGATCTTGCCTCGCCAACGGCAGGAGATCACAGGGTGGCTCCCTCGGGACTCCGAGGCACGAACAAGGAAGTCACCATCTTGTAGTAGGAGGGTTTCAGCTTCCTGGGGATGCAGAATAGGTGGGTGTTTCCAGAACCCTCCCCTCCCAGTCAAAAGCCACCTTGAAGTAGGGGCCCTATCCCTGGCCACGCCCCCAACCCCTCACTAGGGGATTCCAGTTGTCCTGATTCCTGGCTGGGTTAGGACCCTAGAATTACTTTTTTTTTTGAGATAAACTCTCACTATGTAACCCAAAAGTGGCCTTGAACTGCAGAACTTCTGGAATGTTGAGGTTACCTGGCTCTAAGAAGTATTTCGTTTGTTATTTTGACCGGGTCTCTTTGTGTAGCCTGGCTGTCCTGGAACTCACTTGGGTAGCCCAGGCTGGCCTTTAACCCAGAGAGATCTGCCTGCCTCTGCCTCCTGAGTGCTGGATTTACAGGCATGTGCCACCACACCAAACTTGAGAGGAATTTTTTGGTCCACACTCTATAGACTGGGAAACTGAGTCTCAGAAAATTCAACTACCTTGTCCATAGTCCCACAGAATGTAAACTGTAGGCTAGGATCTGGACCCAGCGTGTCTGATTTCTGGGCCATCACTTAACTTTCTGTCTGCCATAGTTTTATGGTACGTTTCAGGGTCCCAGGGCTCTTGAGTGTGTGACCGTAAAGAGGTGGAGGCAAGGTGGCTCGACTTCAAAGAAAAGTGTCAGGGGGAGATGGGGCCAGAGTGGGAGACAGACAGGGGTCAGAGAGTACGGGGGTCTATTTAATCTCCATTACCATCCTCAGCAGTATCCCGGGAAACGGGGATGGTTTCTGGTCATCCGATAGCTCCCACTCAGCCAAGCTTCAGGAGGGTCTGTGGTCCTCCAGCCCACTGTCCCCAACAGACCCTGGCTCCAAGTTGCTCACCTAAAACCCAGGCTTTCCCACATTCGTGTGGGAGAGTCTTCCCACTCGCCTACAGGGTCCATACCTGTCGGGACAGCTGACCATGGTACCAGGGTTGGCAGGTAAGGTTGTCTGTATCCTGTGGTGCCTGCATGGAGCTACTGGAGGAGGGCGTCAGGGCCGGACTTTGCACATCCACCCTGCCTCAATCTTCCACATCTGCAAAATGGGAACGATGAGCCCTGTACACTGAGGGGTTGGGCTTCATCCTTTCATCATCTAGTTTTTGAAATTTTCATCCATTCATTTATTCATTTTAGCTTTGCTCAAGTCAGTTTTAATTGCTAACTTTACACAGTGTGAAGTCACCTTGGAAGGGAGTCTCGGGTAAGGTTTTGTCATGATCAGATTTACGTGTGGGCATGTCTGTGGGGGGATTGTCTTCATTGTTAATTGTGTAGAAGGGCACAGCTCCCTGTGGACAGTACGATTCATCCCCGGGAAGGTGGTGCCGGGCTGTATCAGGAAGCTAGACATGGGTCTGTGTGAGAGCCAGCAAACAGTGTTCCTCCACCTTTTTTTTTTTTTGCCACAAGCTTCTGCTTGTGTTCCTGCCTTGACTTCCTTCAGTGACAGACTGTGGCCTGGAAGCTGCGGTAGAGTCCTGACTGCTCCTAAGCTGCTCTGGTCTGCATCTTACCCCAGCAGCAGGAATGAAGCTAGACCAAGCCTGTGTTCAGCATACAGGACAGCGAAGCCATCATGACATCTTCACACCTGTTGATAATATATTTTGCCCATACTCACCCCATCACCCCCTCTATTTATGTACATGTGGTTTGTGCACATGTGCGCACGCGCAGATGTTTGGACCCTTAGGCGTGTTGAATTGAGAGGATGTTGGGTGTCTATTGCTCTCCTCCTTATTACTTGAGGCAGGGTCATTCAGTGAACAAAGAGACTGTCATTTTGGCTAGGCTCCTTGGCCTCCTGTCTCTGACTGTCTCTGCCTGCTCCAGGCTGGGTTTACTGCAATGTGCGACCATGGCCAGCCCCCATTTTACTTGGGGGCAGGGGACAATTGTGCAAACACAATTTCCCCAATCATGTTTTCAGGCCCCCATTACCCTCTCTTGTCTGCACACCCCAACTGTGCTTGTTTTGTTTCATTTTTTAATTTCAGGTTATATGTGTGTACATAGAAGTACTTGATTATATGTATTTTACATGTGAGAGAAAACATAGTATTTGTTTTCTGGGTCTAGTTTATTTTAATTAACATGACAGTCCTCAGTTCCATCAATTTTCCTGCAAATGACATATTTTTCTCTATAACTGCATAATACTCCACACACACACGTACACGCACGTGCATACATGCATGCACGCACACACTACATCTGACTTTTATTCCTCTCCCATTTTTTTACTTTGGAGATCATGTAGCTCAGCTGGTCTCAGACTCCTGCCTCCACGTCTTGAGTGCTGAGCTGCATCTCTTTCCCATTTCTGTGCTGATGGCCATCTAGCCTGAGTCTGCACAGGGCTCTTGTGAAGAGTCCACATTGTAGCGCAGCTCGGATGCTGCTACAGATCACACACACACACACACACACGCACACACGCACACACGCACACACATACACACACACGCACACACACGCACACACACACGCACACACACGCACACACACGCACACACACGCAATGAATGCATATGATAAATTAAACAAGCAATTCACAGCCATATTTGCATGCATGTATGTATATTTAATATTTGAACATAGTCACACTGTGCAGTCCTGGCTGGCCTGGAACTGGCTGTGTATTCCAGACTGGCCAGGAAATCACAGAGATTTACCTGCTTCTGCCTCCTGAGTGCTGGGATTAAAGGTGTGTGCCAGTATGCACAGCGAATGTGTGTGTGTGTGTAACGGGGGTTTGAACTTGTGGCCTCCTAAGCGCCTGGCAGGGACAGACACTGAGCTACCGCCCAGCCTTAAATATCTCAATATTAATAGTGTAGGCCTTGTGTCACACTGGGGTTGAGTCAGGGCCCTGGTCATGAGACGCATGAGTTCTATTATTGAGCTTCAGCTTCCAGCTCAGATGAGAAATTTTTATATACAAATAAATACACCACATTAATTTAGAAGCGAGTACATCTTACATAAAACGGTCTGTATTTGTCCTGGTGTGCTGTCCTGTCACTGGGGGAAAACACTGTTCACAATCTACTTGGTGGAGGACAGGATTTATTTGGGATACGCTTGCTGGTCACATTCCATCCCCAAGGAGAGTCAAGGCAGGAACTCAGGCAGTGACGGAGGCAGAGGGCAAGAGACAAGAGTGGACCTGAGTTCAGACCCCAGCAACCACACTGCAGCCCACAACAGTCTGTAATCTCAACCCCAGGGGATCCCACAACTTCTGACCTCCAAACACATCCACATCCCCCTTCCACACGGCAGACATTCAGCCACACAGACACACACATATATATAGTAACGGAAGCAGAAAGCACACATGAACACTTCAGGAGGCTTGCTCACTGGCTCTCTGTTAGCTTCTTATACAGCCCAGCTCCACCTGCACAGGGCGGCACTGCCCACCGTGGGCTGACACTCACTCACATATAAAGGAAAAACAATGTATATGTAGAAATAACAGAAATGTACAGATAAATGTGGTCATAAGTGCTTACTTTAGTTATCATTATTGAAGTTGGAAACAGCTATAAACTCAGCACGTTGGAGGCTGAGACAGGACGGTCTTGAGTCAAGGTTAGTCTGGGCTACGGCGTGAGACCCAATCCGGAGAAACAACTTCCAAACAGTACAAATAAAATCAAATAGCAAAGTTAAAGTCATCTCACACCAGCAACTGCACTTATGAGGCTCCTTGCCCAGGTTCAATATGTTACAGAGTAACAGATACTTAAGAGTAACATATTGTAAGAGTAATATATACTCAAATTTATATTACTCTTAAGCAGACCACAAGGCTTGGTTTGATGTTCTCATGTAGCCCAGGCTGGCTTGGAGCTCACTATACAGCCCAGGAGGATTTTGAGCTCCTGATCCTCCTGTCTTCACCTCCCCAGTGCTGTGCTGTGGATGGAACCTAGCGTTTCATATATACTAAGTTAGTAAGCGAGGGCTCTACCACTGACTTGCAGCCCCACCCTCCTGCGTAGTTCCTGCCTTCAAGACGTTTTAAAAGTCAAACTTGGAGACTGATCAGCAAATGGTGACTTTACATTTTTAGTTTCTTTTTGTGTTTGGTAACTCAGCTATTTAGTATATTATGGTTAGATTTTAGATCTCAGACATTATTCCACAGATATTGTGCTTCAAATATCTGTTAGAAAAATTATCTTGGGTGAGAGGGAGGGCTGGCTATCTTATCCTAGCTATCTGTCTGTCTGTCTGTCTATATATCCATCCAGCGATGGATCTTTGTATCTATGTGTGTCTGTCTACCTATCTCCAGAGTCTTGGAGTATAGAAGTGGCCCTGGCAAGGCTGCAGAGAGGCACACAGCAGGATTCCTGACTCCTGAGTCACCACTTCCTGGAGAGGGGGGCGGGGCATCCTCAATTACGTCCTGAGACCTGGGGCCCCAGGGCTGGGAGGATGCTGCCGCAGGCACTGCACACCTGAAGCCAGGTGTGCTCCCAAACGTGCACACTTCCTGTTTGTCACCTGGGTGAGGCCCGCGGCTGTGGCCGTAACTTCACGACTGACAAATTCCTGTTTCTTCAGTAACCTTCGGCGGGAATCGGGGTGAGGCAGAACCAAGTTCTGGTTCAAGTTTGGGGAGCTCAAGGAGGGCACGGGTGCCAGCCCCAGGTCTAGGAAACTGTCGTCAGGGTCTTTTGGAGGGATAATTTATTTGGGCAGGGGAGGGGAACCGGGAAAGTGGACAGGCAAACTCCAGTGAGGTGTTTCCTGTGTCTGCACACATCCAGGGTGCAGTCGCCAGTAGACACCTCACAGACAGACGCAGGTTGAGTTGGGGTTCCGGGATCTCACCTTCGACTCTGAGCTGATATGGTGATCTAAGACCTACTGTGTACCACCAACCTGTCCTAGACCCAATTATCCGATCCTCAGCTGCAACTAACAACCAACAGACGAGCGGAGAAGATCATTTCTAAGTGTTCCGGGTGCAAATAGTGAAACAGGAAGATTTCGGGAAGGAAGGCTAGAGGGGCAGGGTTCTTTTTTAATTTAAATTTTATTGTGTGCGGGACTGCCAAGGTTCGAGGGTGGAGGCCAATGGACAGTTTCCTCCTCTGGTCTTCACGTGGGTTTCAGGATGGAACTCAGGCTAGCAACTCAGGCTAGCGGACTTCAGGGACAAACGCCTTTATCAGCTGAGCCATCTCACCAGCCCCGGCGACTGGTGTTCTTTAAGTATGAAAGACCCTTTCCAGGAGACGAGGACCCGAGAGCTGAGGCAGCATGGCAGAACTTTGTTTGGGATGCCTGGGTGGTGTATGTGTGTGTGTGTGGTGGGGGGTGAGGGTGAGGCCGTTAGACGGGCATTTTTTGATGTTTTCACAACGTGCTAATGTGAGCGAGGAGGGACCAGAGGGAAAGAAAAGGCTAGGAGGGGAGACCTCACAGTAAAGGAAGCACCTCGTTTTAGTTCGACGACCACAGGCGACTTTAGGAAGCCTTTGGGGCAGCCAGCCAGGGAGGGGCAGATCCGGATTTGCGCTAGCGCGCACCAAAGTGGAAGCCCAGAGTATTTCCGCAGACAGCAGGAAACACGCTGGGAGCTGCGCGAGGGCCACCCAAGGCACACCCGGGTTCCCGGACACGCAGGACGCCCAGCCACTCACTTGGAGACTTCTTCCGACCCCCCCTTCCCCCCGCCGCAGACTCTCTTGGATGGATCCTCGGGTTCTCCCTGTGAGCTAACGGCCCCAACCCGATCCCAGTAGGGACCCCTAGATCTAACAAAGACCACCCCCTTACTCACCTGGTCCCGACTCTGGAGGATCCGACGGGACTCTATCAGGAGGCTCAGCAGCTGAGGAACGAACTGTCCATGCTCCAACCAGTCTCAGCTCGCCAGTCCTCCACCTGGCTGAAGCCCAGGCTGGGCACCTGGCCCCGCCCCTCCAGGCCCCGCCTCCAAAGTAACCTCCCAGGCGCTTACCCCGCCCCCTGGGAACCTGTCTTTGCCGGTAGCCGAACCCCTATGCCTGTGCGTGTGTGAGCGCGCGCTCTTCTTATTCTCTATAGACTCCTCGTCCTTGGCAACTCCAAAGAGCCCCGCTCTTTAAACAGGCGCCACGCCTGCTCACTATTGCGCCCCACTTAGTACCACGGTTTGTGATTCTTCCTCCCTTTCCTTCTTTCTCCCTGCTCCCCCACATCTTTTATAGCACTCGTTTACCTATCCGAGGATAACCGTGGGCTCCTGATTCTCCCGCCTCCACCTCCCGAGTGCTGGGAGGACAGTTGTGCACTGTCATCTATATTTCTAGTTCATGCGGTGCCCGGGACCTAACCCCCGGCTTCGTGCACGCTGGACAGTGCTCTACCTACTGAGCCCCAGCCTCAAGCTCTAGAACGATTTTTACCGCATGCCATGTCTCTCTAGGATCTGGCCGAGTTGAGGGTGTTTCTCCAAATCTCCAGGGATTCAGATCAGTTCAGTGCAGCCCTGGACTGTGGGGGTCAAACCTGCTGCTCCCTCCAGCTATCCCGCGCCCCTCCCCCCCCCCCCCCCCCCGCCAATCCTGCCTGGGTTTGGAATGGAGAGACTTGTGGGAAAAGGGGACAGCCTCCATCAAAGATGGAGTAGGGCGGGAGTTTGGGGCCAGGAGGAGGACCGAGGGTTCTGATGGGTTCTCAGGTTGGGGTGGGCCTCGATCCTGAGGCAGAGGAGGAAGTTGGAGGTTGGGAATCTGCAGCAAGAGAGGCAATACTACGTTTGATAAAGGCCGCGTTTATTCAAGACTCTCTAGGCGGGTGTTCGGTGACTAGAGCGCTGGCCCAGCAGGCACGAACTGGGTTCCAAGCCCAGTGCTGTGTAAAGGTGTAGGGGGTGTAGTGGTGAGCACCTGTCACCACAGCACTAAGGAGGTGGAGGCAGGAGGATCAGGAGTTCAGACAGTCTTAACTCTGTAGTGAAGTTCAAGGCCAGTCTGGGTTGTATGAAAGTCTTTAAAGTATTCTATTTTTATTTATTTATTTATTTTATGATTTTTCGAGACAGGGTTTTTCTGTAGCTTTTGCAGCCTATTCTGGAACTAACTCTTGTATACCAGACTGGCCTCGAACTCACAGAGATCCGCCTGCCTCTGCCTCCCGAGTGCTGGGATTAAAGGTATGCGCCACCACCGCCTGGCTTTAAAGTATTCTATATGATAGCGGCACCGCTTATTGAACACCTGCTGTATACCAAGACAATTCAGCTTGGTAGCCCTGCCCCAACGGGTTAATTTTTACTCATATCCCTCTAGGATACTATTCACGTCACCCACCCCACCCCCATTTTCCCAGTGGAGAAACTGAGGCATGGAGGTGGGGGAGCCAAGCCATTCCTGCATATGTACCACAGCTTGGGAGTCGTGGGGAAGGAATTTGAATTTAGTGACTTAGTGGGTGCCTTCCAGTCTACCTCATTTTTCACAGCCTGGCCGCCCCCTCTAATCTCCGACCCTGACCGTGTGCAGAGAAAGTAAATTGTTACCCAGCTTATAGAAGAGGGAGAGGACGCGTAGGAAGTTACAGAAGCCAAAAATAGGGGATGGAAACTGTCCTCGCCTGTAGAATTGCAAAAGAAAGGGTTTCCAGGCTGTGCCCACCCCTTCCCCAACTCCCTGCTATGCAAATCAGACTCAGGCCGGTCCAGGGAGGCAGTCTAGCGCCGCCTAGTGGCCATAACGGTGAAAAAGCGGAGTGGGAGGGGAGCTACTTGGAACCTGGTAGGTTAAATTGGAGAGAGGTTTCCTTGTCAAGGCAGTTTTAGCTCCTAATAGTAGGAGCTAAATAATAAGTATGGTCAGGAAGGCAATAAATATTTGTTAAATGAATTAATGGATCACAGGGAAGGGCAATAGTGACTATGACTCTGAAGGGAACTCACAGCAGGGAAAATGTCAGATTTATTGGGTATCAGAGTTTAAGGAAAGGGAAAAGACAGGAAAGGGTGGAGACGGGCCATGGTTTGAAATTGGGAATGCCTCGGGGAAAATATGACATTTGGAGGCCCAGGAAATGGCCCAGTCATGTGTGCTATGTGGATGAGAGAACCTGAGTTCAAATCCCCAGGACTTAAGCAAGAGGTGGTAGTCTGAACTTCATTCTCAGGGCTTCTAGGATGAGATGGGAGGTGGGGGCAATTGCAGAAGCTCATGGACGAGCTAGCCAGGAGCAAGAGAAAGAGCGAGAAAGACCCTGCCCTAAGTGATGTGGAAGAGAGATCCTGCACCGAGGTCACACATGACACACACAAACACATGGTGCTCACAGCACAAGAGCAAAAGGAAAAAAAAAAAGGGGTGGTGAGAGGGCTCAGTGGACAAAGGTGATTGCTGCCAAGCCTGAAGGTCTGGGTTCAATCCCTGGGACTCACATGGTGGAAGGAGAGAACAGACTCCCTTCCTCATGACTTCTGACTGTCATGAGGACCACATAGAAACTGTGTCCCATACGTGTCTTCACACATACACACAAATTACACATATATAGACACACACATATATGTACATGTATACATGAAAAGTGAGCAAATAAATGTAACAAAAATGAAAAAGAAAAACTGGCTGTAAAAGCAGAGTATCTTTTCTACTGTATATTTATATTCACATTCTTTGTTTCATGTAGAGTGCTCCATGGTAGCGCTTTATCTTGGTCGTACCCACCCTCAACTCCCCCTTACTTTCCCCAGAAACCCTCAATGAGTCATGGACTCCCTTCTCATTCTGCCGACTATGTCCATTACTGTCGCCTGTGGGAATATTAGCTCATCTTCCTGCTTTGAGCTCAGGAGCACAGTCCTCATGCCCAGCCGGGAAAAAGGCGTTTTGCAGCTCCTTCCCACCCGGCAGCTCACTAGCTTTCCATTCCTTCGCCCTTGATCCTTGGCTTGGTGGCGATAGAGATGCTCTCTCTGGAGCTGAGCACTCACTAATCAAGAAGTAACATCAGGAAGCGATGTAGTCAGTCACTAACTTATATCAGCTGGTGGGCACAGTGGAAGCCGTCTGAGGCAGGATGGAGGTCTGTGTGGCTGGAGCACAGGGTGTGAGGGACACAGAGGACACAGAAGCTGGAAGGGGTGGGGACAGGGTGGCAGGGCCTTGTGGGGTGCAGGGAGGACTTGGGTTTTGATCCTGTGGAAGAAGGCAGTTAGAGCCATAAGGGGCTATGGGCAGAGGAAGAGTGCCCTTGGGGGACGGCGCCCTTTGTGGGCTGCAGCGGGGACCGACTGTGAAAGACCAGGGCCTTACACAGGGGACCTGGAGGAGCTAGAGTAGGTGACAGCTTATGTGGCTGATTAGTCCTGCAGGTGCCCAGGTCCACTCAGTGTGGGTGGAGAAAGGGGAGGTCACACCAGTGCGTGGAAGGCGTGGGGGCGGAACTGCAGGTGCTCCCCTCCGCCCTACAGCTCCTCCCCACCCCCAGCCCCAGGGCGACAGTTACAGTCACAGAAGAGGAAGTGGTGTTGTAGTTGTCCCCACTGGGGCAGGCAGCGGCAGCGGTGGTGGAGGCGCGAGGGTGCACGGGGCCTCCCCGAGGGGGAGGCAGGCAGCCACCATGGAGCTCTGGCGACAGTGTACCCACTGGTTGATCCAGTGTCGGGTGCTGCCTCCCAGCCACCGAGTGACCTGGGAGGGGGCGCAGGTGTGTGAGCTGGCACAGGCTCTGCGAGATGGGGTGCTCTTGTGTCAACTGCTTAACAATCTGCTTCCCCAAGCCATCAACCTGCGGGAGGTCAACCTGCGGCCCCAGATGTCCCAGGTGAGCCTGCTGGGTGAAGCCAGGGCAGGGCTGGGTTGAGGGGGAGCACCTCTTTAGGTCTGGGTTTGGCTAAGTGGAGGTGCTGAGCAGAACAGGGCCCTGCGTGGGTTTACAGACTCTAGGTCGGCTTGCATCTGCGTTGACCAACTAGGGGGAAATCCCTCCAACTATAGGCTAACTGTTGAGACCCACGTAGAGGGGCCCTGGGGTACCGGGAGCCTTGTGGATAGCCAAGAGGGTGCATGAGGTTGGAGCCACCAGATTCAGGCATTGAAGAAAGAGACCTTCACTTGCTTCTCCCCCACCTGGGGCTCCTCCTCTTCCGTCTCTTCTGATCCCCCCCCCTTCCTCCTCATATCTTCCTTCACCTCCATTTCCTGCCAGGGCTCTGGGCTGTGTTTCATGGAGGGTGGGGGGCTGCACTGTTATCCCCTGTGGCTTCCTAGCTCTGCCCATCCCACAAAGGGCCCACTGAATGCAGGTCCCAGGCGACCCTGAGGCCGTTTCTGCCCTCCCCACCCTTCAAGGGGAGGCATGCTCAGAAGTGCCCTGGTGAGTTTAGGAAATATATTCAAATCCTTATTTGAATGTGGCTGGGGCGATGGTGAAACGTGACTGGTGGCTTTGTGCTCTTTTCCCTGCTCTCCCAAGGATGCTGGGTTTGGGCGGTGGGGAGTGGGGGGGGCGCTGAGAGCATTACAAAAGGAAGATATAGGGTCAAGTCAGAGAGGTACATAGCCTTATCATGGGGGCAGAGGAATACTCACTGTACCCAAGGGAACATGGCCTTGCCCTGGGGTCTGAAGGACACAGCCCTGGTGTAGGAGACATCTACCATCTTGTCCTCAGTCTCTGAGGCCAGCACATCCAGTTCCTCCAAGTCCCAGGAGGCTGCTCCTGAAATGATGAGCTGTGGTTGGCTGGGGCTGGTCTCTTTCCTCTTGTGAGGGGTCCCATGTGGTTGAAGAAGGAAATTGCTCTGAGAATGGACTGCTGGGGTCCCTAGAATGTCCCCTGGGGTTGTCGGTGGTGAAGCAGCGGCCCCTGGAGCCGTCACAAGGTCCCTGAAGGGAGCAGGGGGCACAGCGCCTGCTCGCTGCCCTCCATGGATGTCCCTCTGGCTGGCTGCAGGCCATCAGAGATTTGACTACATTTGCTTGAACTCCAGTAGCTTTAAGGGCTTGAGGAAGTAGCCATGGGATGTGTAAGGCCCCAGCTCTGGCAGGACTTGGGGTGCCCTGTGATGTGGCAATCGCAGCTGTTGGGAAAACAGTTGAGTTAAAGATGAACTTTCGCCCCTGTGCATCATGGCTAAGGCTGATTTTCTGAAGGGCCAGTGTGAATGGTGTTAATCCCCAGAGGGCCGGCTATGTTCCCGCAATCGTCCTAATATGTGCCAGATAATGCTGGGAACTTGGCTCTAGCCCCCAAAGAGTTCTTAAACGCAAGGAGACAGAAAAAGATAGTCCCAGGCCTGTGTGTTCTAGGGATGTGGACAGGACACTGCCTGGGAGAATTAGGACTTATGTAAGAGGGATATTTAGGCTGGGTTTTGAAGAGTCAGTTTGAGTTTTCCCATTGCTCTGTTGTATGAAGCCCCAGGCTGGGCTAGGGTTCACCCTGACCCTCCCTGTCTGTCTTCTCGATGGTTTCTAGCCTTGCTTTTCTCTGCCTTCCTTAGAAATTCTGTGGAGATGTGTGTGAGAACCAATGGGCTATACACAATATCTCAGAGGGAGGTACCCCAGAGAGGCTGCCTCTGGGTCTTTCTCTGGGACACTGTTAGCAGAATGAAGCCAGGGACAGAGTGACCCATGGGATGTGGAAGGCAGAAGGAAAATGAGAAGGAGAAGCTGATGGAAATAGCAGAGATCAAGGTGTGGAGGTTGGAATAAGAAGACTACTTAGCTCCTCCATTTCTTCATCACTCTCCTTTGTCCAGCAAAACGGGAAGTAATAATATATACACCATCTATCCATCTACCCACCCACCTATCCATCCACCCATCCATCCATCCATCCATCCATCCATCCATCCATCCACCCACCCATCCATCCATCCATCCATTCACCCATCCATCCATCCACCCACCTACCCATCCATCCATCCATCCATGCATCCACCCATGTATCCACCCACCCACGTATCCATCCATCCACCCACCCACCTACCCATCCATCCATCCATCCATCCATCCATCCATCCATCCATCCATTCGCCCATGCATCCACCCACCCATCCACCCACCCATCCACCCATCCATCCACCCATCCATCCATCAATCTATCCATCCATTCATCCTCTACCAGTTCATTCATTCACCTGTTCTCCTATTCATTCACTCATCCACTTACCCACCCACCTTCCACCCATAATCAAACAGATACTGTGCAGGGCAGGCCCCACCCTTGGTGCTGGGGGACTATGGAAGTGGGACACATATGCTCATGTTCTAACACACCTATTCTGAAGGAGGGAAATGAATCAAAGAGAAAACACGGACAGGTGTACATGTTTAAGTGGCTAATACCTTGAAGGAAGCTATGCTTGGAAAGCTATGCTGGGGGGCACTTCTGAGTAGAGAGTCTAGAGAATCTCTCTGGAGCAGAAGCCTGGGGCAGTGAAAGATGAACCCTGTGATATGGGGATGCTGCCTGTGGACAGGTCCCGAGGTAGGGGCAGGCAGGTGGCTCAGGGTAGTGGCTGTCCCAGCGTTGCTGGTGGAGGTCAGATTGGAGCATTTTCAGACTGGCTGGTGCCCATGAGGCCTAAGGCCCACAAAAAGGATGACAATGTCTTGTTTAGAAACAGAGGCCCAGATATCACAAGCATGCACTCCTCTGTGGGAGTGTGTAATCCTTCCACGCAGAACTCTGAGGTTGGAGGCCTGAAGAGATAGAGGTGGTTTGGGGAAAGATCCTTCAGGGTGTGAAGCTCCTTAGACTGCTGGAGAAGCAGAAGTTGGGGTAGAAGGCATCGCGAAGCCCCCAGTCCTAGCAAACCATTTAGGTGGGTGTGTACCCATGGACACTGGCAGAGCCCATGCCTGAACTGGAAGTAAAAGATAACAGGGTGATTGGCTTGGACTTAGTGGCTTGGGTACAGCATTTGCTCTGCAAATGCGAGGGTCTGCAGGCACATTGAAAAGCCAGGCATTTCCTGTGAGCCCAGTGCTGCGGGCTTGCTGGCTACCAGCCTAGCTCCAATAGAGACTCCAATAGAGACTGGTGGGTAGTGATAGAGCAGGCCATCTGCCCTCTGATGTGTGTACATGGGCACACACAGCTGAAACCGGACTGTGGAAACACACATGCACAGTGTAGCATGGAGAGACTCGGTGCCGTCTTTGGTGTGCCAGGCAGGGTTTGGAGGTCAGTGGGCACAACAGGACCTTCCAGGCGTTTGTGTGATTGAAATAGTCTAACGATGCGTGGGAATGGAACGTATCTCCCAGATTTCAGTGCAGCTCAATGGGGGACCGCAGTGTCGGGCCCTGAGGTTGGTGGCTTGAGTTCCATTTCCAGCCGCTGGATTTTGAGGAAGTGTCTTATTTACTCTCCTATTGCCGGGATCAAACACCATCACCAAGGCAGCTTATGGAAGAATTGGTTTGGGCTTATGGTTCAGAGGGAAAGGAGTCCACATGGTGGAGGAGGGAGTCATGTTGCAGGAAAAGGGGCCTCCTGCCTCCAACAGCAGGAAGCAGAGAGCGCCATCTCTGGTGGCATACTTTCTCTAACAGGACCAGACTTCTTAAACCTTGCCAGACAATGCCATCACGTGTTCAGATGTCACAGACAGTTGAGGATCACGTGTTCAGATGTCACAGACAGGAAAGGAGGGCTATCCAGGCTCACAGTCTCAGGGTACAGATGATATGGCAGGGAAGGCTTGGTGGCAGGAATGGCACTGCTGGTCACATGTCATCTACAGTCAGAGGCAGAGACACGGTGCTGTTGTTTGCATTCAGTCCAGGCCCCCAGCCCAGGGGCTGTTGTAACTGCCCCAACCTAGACAACCCCCCTACAGGCAGGCACAGAGGTAAAGTGAGCTCTCATAGGTGTGTTTGGAGGCTTGACTCCTACCTAACCCCCGTATCCAGTCAAGTCGATGACATTAAACATTACAGGAAGTTACTGAAAATCTCCATGACTCAGTTCCCTATTTCTGTTTCTCTTTGTCTCAGCTGCGAGGGAACTTAGGTCTTCCTGAGCTAGACCAGGGCTCCACCTCTGAGAGACGCCCCCAGCCCCTCACTGGGGGATTCTGGGTGGAGCTCCACCCTGACCACGTCCCCAGACCCTCACTGGGGGACTCTAGGTGGGCTTCACCCTGACCACGCCCCCAGCCCTTCACTGGGGGATTCTGGGTGGGGCTCCACCCTGACCACGCCCCCAGTCCCTCACTGGGGGATTCTGGGTGGGGCTCCACCCTGACCACGCCCCTAGCCCCTCAACAGGAACCTAGTCAATGTTGTTGATTTCCTCTCAAGGTCAAATGTCAAGTTTGGGTGCTGTGGTGACAATCACAAGCATTGTGTTTGGTTCACAGACCCTAGTTTTGGTTCCTTAGACACCTGGTTCCATCTCCCTCCCACCTTCCTCTGACAGTCTGCCCTAGCCACAGGCCTGTTAGCCTTTCCTCCAATGCATCAGGCAATGCGGCTCGCCTCAGGTGTCTGGCGCCGACTGCTTCCTCTGTCTGGAACACTGTCCATGCTGCTATCCACCTGGCGTCCCCGTCACCTCCTTTCAAGCCTTTGCTTAAACGTCAGTCTAACAACGCATCCAACACGTCACCAGAGTCCCACCTTTCCTGGCACTGTGCAGCCCACTGTCCTTTCCCTTGTGTGTCTGTGCCCTTGCGTGCATGCCCGTCCGTGTGCAGTCTTGTATGCATGTCTGTGGAGGCACGGTGTCTTCTTCAAGCGCTCTTCTTCCTTCTGCCTTCAAAGATCTCTTTTAAAGGTTTCAATTGTGAGTATGCGTCTCAGAGGGGA